TACAAAGTATTAGTTAGAACAGTGATAATTCCTCCTATAGAGTCAGTGTTGTTATTGTTAACTAAAACTAGTACTGTTTTATAAAACGGATAGTTCCGGTCCTTGATTCTGATTGGTTGAGCTGTAAATTACTCTACAAACATACACTTTTGTTTACTTCTGTGTGTTGCTTGGCAACCACTTTGTTGGAACCACAACTGTTTCTGAGGAACTACATTGTTTGGTGGAAGAATACTGTTTTTATTAATATCATTACACTTTATTTGCTCTGTTTTATTTTGTGAAACCTAACTACGGATATGGAATAACCGTTTTATAAAAGCAATAAGCCCCGTGAATTGCAAATGTAGATAAATTTAGATTTATTTTATTTCAGTTTAAGTTTTGGTAATTTTAGTGAACATGAATTTTAAATAAAGTTTACTGAAATAAAAGTACTAAAATAACAAAAATAAAATAAAAATAAATTAAAGCAGAACAGAAATATTAAAATAAAACAGATAAAATAAAGTTAAAAATAAAAAAAAATTACCAAAACTAAAATAAAATAAATAAATGAAAGCTAAATAGAATTACAAAAAAACGAACTGAACTAATTTTAAAAAATAAATAAAAATAAATTAAAGCGGAACAGAAATATTACAATAAAACAAAAAAACTAAATCAAATAAAATTTAAACATTTAAAAGTACCAAAATTACAAACACTAAAATAAAAAATAAATTAAAGTGGAACAGAAATATTAAAATAAAACAGATAAAATAAAGTTAAAAATTACAAAAATTACAAAAACTAAAATAAAAAAAATAAATGAAAGCTAAATAGAATTACAAAAAAACTAACTGAACTCATTTAAAAAATAAATTAAAATAAATTAAAGCAGAACAGAAATATTAAAATAAAACCAAAAAAACCTAAATAAAATAAAATGTTACAATTTTAATGTACCAAAATTACAATAAAAAATCAATTAAAGCAGAACAGAAATATTAAAATAAAACAAACAACAGAAAACTAAATAAAATAAAATTTAAAAATGACCAAAAATTACCAAAATACAAAAACTAAAATAAAAAAATTAATGAAAGCTAAATAGAATTACAAAAAACGAACTGAACTAAACTAATTTTAGTAATTTGAATGGCTAAAATTACTAAAACTGAAATAAAAATACACTAAAGTTAAATATAAATTTATATAAAAATATAAAAAGTTTAAGTACTAAAATTACTAAAACTAAAGCTGAAATAAAAATAAATTAAAACTAAATAGCAATATAAAAAAATAAAAATAACAAAAGCACATAACAAAATTACTCAAATGAAAATTAGAAATGCTGCCTTGGCAACTAACTTAAATAAATTAAGTTGACACAAATAAAAATGCGATATAAAAAGTCAACAGCACAAACAAAATGACTAAAACTTTCAAACTAAATCAAAAATATTATTTAAAAAGTTCAATGCAAAAATGATTAAAACTACAATAATACAAAAATAACACTACACGGAACATAAAAAGATGCGACAGGTGTGTAAATGAAGGTATTTTGAAAGAACTATTCCTGGAGTATGATTTCTGCAGGAGCACGTGTGTCCGTGAGAGCGTGTTGAGCTCACCTCGTCATACATGAACTGCAGCGTCAGGGCTGATTTCCCCACGCCGCCGCTGCCCACCATGATCACCTTGTGCAGAACCAGCGAACTCTGGGTTTTGCTCTTGTTTGCTGCCATGACTTTAGTGCTCCAGAAGAAGAAGCAGAACGAGACTGCAAACATGCAAAAGAAAAATCATCAATTTCAAAGAAACATACATACATGGGTCAAAGACGAAAAAGGGTTTAAGCATAAAAACAATAAGTGTAATACTGCTTTAAATGGCCACCCTCACCCCCCCCCACAAAAAAAATTTCAAACGTTTTCTGTTTAATTTAATTGCAATTTTGTTTTTGTTTTTCGGAGCAAAAAATAAATATCATACATTTTCCCCTGATTTACAAAAGAGGCCCACTAAAACGTCATTCAGTGTAACAATCTTGTCAGGTATATTTACAACAAAAATCTATTATGACATATTAAAAGACTAATTACTTTCACCCCAGATACTAATTAGTTGTAATTTTACATTTTTTAAATTTGCCACTATCCTAGGTTTTGCCCATTTGTCAGTAAGATTGTTTTACTCATTTAAAACACAATAAAATTTTATATGCTCCCTTATTCTTTTACATATTTTAATATGTACATGTCAGAATAAGCATTTACATTTACGTTACTTACATTTAACGTGCTTTCTATGGACATAAAATCACTTTTGTAAATTTCTTTTGATGCGGACATCTTAACATCTTTGACCCACATATAAAAGCATTGCTTATTATTGATACATACAACATATCCAGTGACATGCACCTCAAATTTACATTTACATTTAGTCATTTAGCAGACACTTTTATCCAATTTTCACAATTGTAAAGTGAATTTATACATTAAAGTACATGATTACACTTTTTAGTGCTGAAATAGCACGTTATTATCATGCTACTGTATATGAATATAGTAATCATTGACTATTATGGTACATAGTAAAAGTACCATGGTACCACTTTACAGTCACTGAATTTGACTTCGTAATGGAAACAGCGTGAGCGAATATGGACAATCAGTAAGAAACAGAAAACAACAATATATCACAAAAACACTGAAACTTTTTAAGCAGGTTGTTTTAAAAATGACAAAAGCGATTCTGTTCACTTTTTCATCCCGCGGAGACACCAACCCCTTTCTCATTGTTTATAGACGAGAGCCCGCCTCTCCTAGCTCTTGATTGGTTGAGCAGACAAATTATGAGGCGGGTCCTCCTCTACTCGCGCTCTCATTGGATGTCCTAACAGTCAATCACATAGTTTTCCCACAAAGACATAGGGGCGCTTCACCCGAGGAAATACCTCAAAACTGCAAAGTTGTTGTCTACGCAAACCGATTAAACTTTTTCAAACTGATCAAAACAACACGAACTCTTATTGATCACTCACCTTAAGTTTGATCTGTGAGCAGTCTTGGACTGTATTCGCACGTATAAACAGCTAAAACATAATTCTGTCGAACGGGATCAAATCCACTACCGCTACAGCGAAGCCCCGCCCACCGGATATTCAAATCACACGGATATGACGCCATCACACCATGTATAGATATATTTCCATCGACCTGGGTCGTGTTTACTTTTATTAATTGTATTAAAGTTATTAGATGCACAATTTATACACAGTTATTCATAGCGAATGTTTTAAGTATGCAAAGTGTCAAATGTATTTGCAACGCAGTTAAGTTATTATTTTTGTCTATATTTTATGTAAATTGCGCATTTTTATGAATATGTTATAATCTGGATAATGCGTAATTTTGCTGCATTTATATTTTATAAACGTAAACAGTACGCAGGGTCTATTTTGTGTGAATTATTACTTCGGCAAGTGGGGGCGCTGTTTCATAACTTTAAACTTCATCCGTAAATCAATATCAGTTCTAACCCACAGGAATGACATAAAACTAAAAGAAAATGTAATTTTGGTCCAAAGTATTTTATTATATATATATA